TAATGTTTTAAAACCCAACTCTTCTCTTTGCTGGTGAAGGTTCTCAGTCATCCAGGTCATAGTCATTCCAAAAAAGTAAAAACCAATCTACTGGACTTTGTTTCCTAGTTTGAAGACGTTTCGCTTCCCATCCAGGAAGCTTTTTTTGGCTGTTTCTAAGCCAAAACAAAGCTTTGTTTTGGTCCACTCTATATAGCCTCAAACTCAAAGCTTGTCTGATATTCTGAATTGGAAAAGCTTCCTGGATGCGAAGAAAAATGTCTTCAACTCCAAAAACAAATCAAGTGAATTTTCTTTTTTTTTTTTTGGAACTCTTCTCTTGTTAAGAATATATTTGGAAAACCAATATTGACTCTCTGGGTTACAGGAGCTTCTCTGTCACATATCCTCTGCTCCTGAACCTGAAAAGGCTCTTATTAACCAGGTTCCTGCAGAAACATGATGATTTCCACTCTTTAAACACACATTTAGAAACATCAGAGGAGATTCTGCTGATTTCTGATCTAAACCTGAAAGCTAGAAACCAGCAGATCTCTTTCCCTTTGCTTTAACCGCCTCTATGGTTTTACATCTAATTTTCAGAAGTGTTATAACAAATATCTTCAGGTCTGAGAGTTAAAACTTGGCGTTTTATTTTGAAGGATTGATCCCAGAGGTTGTTTTGATAGATTAGTTTATTCCTCAGTGCTCTGAACTCCCTTCATTCCCCAGAATAAGGAGCCATTTCCACACACCTGCTGAACAGCCAGCGTGCTGTCCATCTCCTCAAAGGATTCATCAGGCCAGTTGTAGAAATCCTGCAAATCAACGGATGTTTAGAGTTAGCAGTTAGCACTGAGGCACAGGTTAACTATGCTAGTTAACTATGCTAACTAGCGCGGCTAGCTGTCAAACCTTCAGCAGTAAATATCTGCCCTCAGCAAATGTTTAACCTAAAGTTAGAGTGAATTCTTACTTCTTTACGCTGCATAGCTAGTTTACCTGACAACGTAAACAAGGACGAGGCTACTTCCTGTAAAGGTAAAATGAAAGTCACGGTTGTGTTTCTGAAATAAAAAATAAACGACCTTAGGAAAGAAAACATCGATAATTAAATAAATCAGCGATTCTAGGATCCAGATCCAGAAAAAGTGAAGCAGAGCAGAGAATCAACCCCTCAGACAGCTGATCAGCCCAGCAATTAGACGGTGAGCGAAGCTAGCTGCAGCTAGCCGAACATTCCAATGACAGAGAGATGTTTCCCAGCGGGCTCTCATCGGACAGAGGCGGGGAAACACAGCACGTCCCTCCGGATGTCAAACAGTCCGCTGAACGGGCTGGATGTGGTTTGATCCCAGGGAGCTGAAACCAACCTTAGCCTTGGTTCCAGGCCGATTCCTCCTGAGAACTGCAGCTCCCTCCGCCATGACCATCTCGACAGAATACCCGGATGTTCGTCAGCGGCGAGGAAAGCGGAAACGGTTCAGGCCATGGCGGCGAGATGGAGCTAAAATCACAGAGAAATCAACCCGTTTATCAACTGTTTCTATGTCAGTGGAAAAAAGAGAGAAAAAGAAACTCCAATTTCAAAACAATTTAAATTTATTTCAACAGAAAATAAACTTTCCACCAAATAAACCCGTCGGTATATGTAAAATTTAATGTCAAAGGGTTTGAAGACGTAAAAATAAGTTTCCATGCCCCCTCTCCTATTGCACCTAAAGTAACTTTGACTAACCTTCCTGTTTTTTTATCCAATATTCACACAAAATATATATATATAATATATTAATATATTTTTCCCATCTTTAAATTGACTGTAAGTCATACAATGAGTTTTCTATCAAGGAAAGCTTTCAGAAGATTTTTCTGTCCTCATCAAAGTTCCCCCAGAGGTGTAATCTGACAGATTATTCTTTTGCATTATAGCTGTTTTTATTGTGAATGTAAAATGCAGTTAAAAGAACATCAAAAGATAATCTTAAAAGTGTGGAGTGCATCTGTTTCTATCCCCCTGAAATCCTGACTTTGTTGAAATGACTTTGGGCATTTAGAGGAAGGTCCCTGACAACGCCAGCTTTGTCCACCTGGAAGGAGAAACCACCACCTGTGTTTCTTCTGGGATTTTTTATTTTAACATCATCCATTGTCCAATAGATCAGGCCAGATTCTGTTTTCCTGCATCTCCTCAGCATGATGCTGCCACCACTATGTTTTACACAGTTTGATCAGGGTTGTTGCAGGCATCTTTAGATTTTTTCAGAAGATATAATTTCATCCAACGTTGCTTTTGAATTGGACAGTAAGAGCATATTTTAGAAATTTTATATTTTTATAACTGGAAATGTTTAATCTAGTGTGGTAACTTTCCCTTGATCAGGAAACGTAGAGCAAATCAACTTAAGCCTTAAGGGACGTCATTTTGTCAAATGTTGGCGCTGAAAATATTTGGGATCTGACGTTCAGATCTCAGTTGCAATGTTTTTCCGTTTTTGTAAAAAAAATAAAATGATATATAACCGAGTTGGGAGTTTAAATGCTGTAATCAGATCAGAGATTAAGGACAAATAGTTGCTGCATTTTTTAGTGTATCATTTTTGATTATAACCAGATTGGTTAAAAAATACTTCATGCTGTAAATTTATTTCTATTGTTACAAGAAAAGAACAGTTTTGTAATTGAAGAATCAATTGAATAAATCCAGAAATGTAACTTTCATAAAAACATTTAATGAAAAAAAAAAAAAAACGTTTTCAAAAGTACATTTTAAGTCAACTGTAAATTCTGGATTGCTTTTTTTTTTTTATTTCAATTGACAAAGCGTCAAAAGATCATTTTATTTTTTTTACTAAACGACGTTGGCTGCAGTAATATTTACAGTTTAAGGCTGACACCCCCCCTCCATTTCCAATCAGCAAAAGCTGCAGTTAGTCATTAAAATCTGAGAACTTTTTCCATAGAAACACATCAAAGGGTGTATAAAGAGCAAAAACAATAAACACACTCACAAAAAAAATAACAGCTGAGTGACTTTATTATTGTAACAAAATGATATTAGAATTATTTACAATTTATGGGACATAAAAAAGAAAAAACAGACATGAATGAAAATTAATTCTCCTCCACCGCGATGACAGCTAGCATCAGAGCTCATTCTGCGTATTTGCCGAGGATGTCTCCGTCACGGAACAGGAAATAATCCTACGGAGAGAAACCGATGACAAAGCGTTAAAATAAAACACAAAGCATCGGCTGTGAGCCGGAGATGAACGGAGCTTCACCTTGTCATCTAGAACGACTTTAGTTCCTCCGTATTCTGGTAGCAGCACCTTCTCTCCGACCTTCACGCTAACCGGCTGCACGTGGCCTTTCTGAGGACGGAAAAACAAAAAATAAATACATAAAAAGTGCATCTCTAATGATCCTATGAAATTAATTTGTCTTTTTTATTATTCTTCCAAAAGTAAAAAATAAAACGTTACAATATAGAAATAAGCAGGGAAGCAGCCAGAGGCTGTCCCATGGCTGAGATCAGTTCTAGTAAAGCAGCAGGTAAGCTAACTGGTGCTAAACCAGTAGATCAGGGCCTGATGCAGTTTGCTGAGAGGTTCTAGGTTTAGACTCTGGCTGTTTCTCATTCCGTGTACTTGTGCGTTCTCAAGTCCTCTGACGTCATCAGCCTCAGCCCTAGCACTGTTCCAATTCACAAGAAGACAGAACAGACAAAGTCCCTCCTTATTTACCCAGCATGCATCAGTGATGACTTGTCTGTTATTGACACTGACAGCTGTCCCAGCATGC